GAAAGGAGTGGAACCACGGAAGAGCAGTGCCTCCCACTCCCAATTCTCTCAGGCGCTCTAAGAGTATGTTGTGATCTATGGTATCGAAAGCCACTGAGAGGTTCAAAAACACCAACTGGGTCACGCTTCCCCTGTCGGTGCTAAGGTAAAGGTCATCTACTAGAGTGACCATGGCTGTCTCCACCCCATATCCAGGCCTGAAGCCGTTTTGAAATGGATCTAGAAAATTGGTTTCATCCAAGATTGCTTGGAGTTGGAAGGCGACGGCTCTCTCGATCACCTTGCTCAAGAATGGTAAATGTGAGACTGGCCTGTAGTTTTTCATGTCCAGGGGGTCCAGTGAAGGTTTCTTCAGGAGTGGTCTAATGGCTGTCTCCTTTAGACCCGATGGAACAACACCTTCCCCAAGGGATGCATTGACGACCTCTTTAAGGAAAGCCATCAATGCATCACCCCCCTGGACGACCAGCCAAGATGGGCAGGGATTGAGAGAGCATGTCATCCTCCTTACTTTTCCAAGGATCTTGTCCATGTCATCGGTACTCACTAACTCAAATTGATCCAGTTTAATCTCATAAATGGGTTTACTGGACATCTCCTCAGTCGCTTCTGTCATAATCCCGGTGTCTAAATCGGCTCTTATCTGAGAGATTTTATCTGCGAAGTAGATGTTAAAAGCGTCACAGCAGGCTGTTGTTGGGTTAAGTAAAGGGTTCTGCACAGGTGGAGCCTGTGACAGTCCCCTTACCACCCTAAACAGTTCTGCCAGACGAGATTCCACAGACGCAATACAGGCAGAGGAGAAAGACTTCTTCGCTGCCTGAATTGCCTCTTGATAGGAATAAAGAAATTGCCTATGATGAGTTCTATCAGATAAGAGTTGAGTTTTCTGCCAGGTGCACTCCAGTCATTGTCCAACCCGCTTCATTTTCCTGAGTTCTTCTGTGAACTGGGGTGACGATTTGGAGCAGGTTGGAAAGGATGCTTGGGAGCAATCGTGTCTATAGCTCTGGTGAGATTTGTGTTCCAAGTGTTCACCAGGGCTTCGACAGGGTCACCGGCCTTACCAACCAAGAAACCCTCCAAGGCTTTTTGGAATCCAATTGGCTCCATTAGCCTCCAAGGGTGAATCATTTTAATAGGTCCTCCACCCCTGGTGGGTTGGACAGTGGCTCTTAGTTTAGCCTTGATCAGGAAATGATCTGTCCATGACAGTGTGGAGGTATTTTTTATTTCTGCCCATGGATATACCTGCTCCGTACTAAAGACCG